GTACAAGGTGAGCCAAGCCCCCAAAGGTACAAGGAACTGGAGTACAGCCTCAGAGGGTCCTCACCCATCTAGCAGTGTGCAAAGCACCCAAACCAACCAGAGATCACCTGTCAGCTCAAGGTTGTGCCCCAGATCTGTGTCAGGAAAGTCTGCTGGAGCCTTGTTTCTCCTGCTTCCTGCACCATTCTCCCTAGAGAGAACTGTGTGCTTTTAACTTTAAAACGTCACCCAGGAGAGCCCCCTCTTCTCTGAGAAATCCTACCCACTGCAATCTAGCCAGAGGTTTTCAATGCAGACCCAGGAGATGAAGAGGTGACAAATAGTTCCGTTTTCACTTCCTTGAAATTTCTCCTAAGTGTGCCTACTCTGCCAACCATATCTGCAAAGGGAAAGAGGTGAAGTTCACACCATTCAACTCCCAGCTGTTGCCATGGAGCCCATCCAGACACCAACACACCAGCAACTCTGGCTGCTTTGCAATGGAATCAAAGAGGGGGAAAATAATCAGCGGGGGAGCAAACTCTTGTTTAAATGCAAATACCTTTGAGAGGAAGCAATTGAAGGAAAAGAAATTATGAAAACCCCAGTAGAGAGCACAGAGTTGGGACTGAGGCTGATAAGCCATGCTGGTCCCTCAGCGGGATAGTCTCTGCTCCATCTCCTGCCAAAGTGGGAAACTTGTTTCCAGAAGTGATTTGCCAACGTTACACATCCCAGTCACCCCTAACAAGGTTCTTAGAAAGAGCAGAGTGGACTTCCTGATGGGCAGAGAGACTGTAAGAGCCTAGGATGCTGATGGGAGGGCTGAGCTGGTTTGCAATAGAATTTAAAGAGAAGGAAATGAGGGTTGAGAATTGAGACCCAAGCGGGAGATATTAGAAAGCAATATAGGTACATCCATCAGCCTCCCCTAAGGAGGAAGATGCTCCAGGGGAAGCAGGTTGGGGGAGAGTGTCTGAAAGCTCAATTAGAGACAGAAATCCTTTAGATTTTTCTGGTAAGAATTATGGTAGATTTTCATTTGTTAATCTTTATTAAAAATAAAACCATCCATTTTTAGCTAAAAATTTCCTAAAGCTCAAGTACTTAACAACAAAGGAGATTATATCTTATCATTGTTTTGTATTGAGGATTATTTTGACCTGTAAACTTTTTTTAAAGATACCTCACAACTAAAAGACATTTTATATCTCTGATCTCCAGAAAAGTTGGTAAGCTGGAAGGCTTGGGGTGAGGAATGAGCATCTGAGACAAATCTGGTGTCTGGAAGCTTCAAATCATCACCACTTACTCCCCCACCCCTGCCCCTCACCCCCATCCCAACTGCCTCCCGACCTCAGCCACCCTTGGGCTGCAGATGTTTCATGCAAGCACACTGGTTGAGGTTCTCGACAAGATCTCAAGCCACTGCTGTTTGCAAGCACTTCAGGAAAGGATATGGGCGAGAAGAAGGGTGCATTGTCTCCAGCCTCTGGCTCCCATGGAACTTCTAGTTAGCCCCAGGCAGCGTAGCATCCAGGCTATGAGGTACTAGAAGGTTTCCTGTGGTTGGCAAAAGGGCACCAAACTAGGAATCAAAAGACCTGTGTCAGAGTCCTGGCTCTATTATAATCCAACCATGCAACATGGGGACACCATTTCACCTTTCTGTGCCTTGGCCTCAGTTTCCAGATCTGTGAAATGGGGTTGTTCTCCTATCATTTATTGAGCACTTAATGCAGATAACAAACTGGCAAACTGCGGGCCACATGCTGCCCTGTGTCTTAACCTGCACGATGTAAAATAGTCATGAGCCAGTATTTTAAGATAAAGCAATTTCGTATAAAATTCTAAGTTTCTGGTTTGTCTTGAAAAAGGATGCAATCTGACACCACAGAGACCTACAATGTTACAGTCAGTTGGAGTAAACTGTTACATTTAGAGAAAATACACACTCCACTTGATATTAATTCTCACCACTCCCTGTTTGCTTAAATCCTGGGGCCAAGAGTCAGTTGCCTATTTAGTAGGGAAACTCTGTTTTACCCTGCAGTAGATAGAAATTTGGAAAGCACTACATATTTAATTCTTACAGCAACTCTCCTAAGCGGTAGGCAGGATATTCAATCCCATTGTACAAATAAGGAAACTGAGTCCTTTCTATCTAAATAGAATCATGCAGGCTTCAATCTGATTGCCACTTGCTCAAGGCAAACAACTAGTAAGTGACTGACCAGATTTGATCCCAAGCTGCCTGCCTCAGAGCCCATGCTTATGACCACTTCTCTCTTCTGCTGGCCTTCGAAACATGCATCAAACATGTCATTGTATTCAGATCACAGTTGAGGTTCAGGGAGATGGCAGCCCACCTGGGTTGCATTTTCTATATCTCAGTTGTTGCTGGAGATGAGTGACCTACATGGGGATCAAAGCCATTAATTAAAAAAAGCAGGGATAATGAGAGTTGAAGGGACCCAAAGAGATGATTCAATCAGCTGTTTTCATTTTAAGGAAGGGAAATCTTGAAAAGGTTAAGTGACTTGTTTATAGTCACATATTTCCTGGAAATATCCGTGCTAGGTCTAGATTAGGAAAATGAAATAAAGAAGTTAATTAGCTTGCCAGATATATATTTAGGCTCCCAAACTCACTTGGGTTGAAAATGCATAGATTTTTCAAGCACAAAAGTTTTGAGAAGGAGTCAGAATTACCTGGAAATTGCATCCATTTCCTCCTTTGCTCTTCATTAGAATTGTCCCCCAAAATCTTAGCTAGGAAGTCCTGTAGCCATTTCTTAGTTTCCTTTTGGAAATACAGAATGTCAGAAGAACAAATGTCATCGAGAGGTCATCTAGGCCAATCATCTCATTTTACAGGTGAGGAAGCCTAGGCCCAAAGGTGAGGGGACGTGTCCCAGACTGTTCCACAAGCTGGCACAAAGCTAGACAGGAACTATTCCGGCCTCACATTCTGAGCTCACATCCCTTGGTACCGCTGCTGCTGTGAGCTTCTCACCAGCTCAGCTTGAGTCTCTTCCTGGGAAGCATTTTAATGATGCTGTTCAGAGGCTCCACTGCTCGTTCCTCAGGGTCTCAGGATGGGGAGGACAGCTGTTCTAAAAACCCACTCACAGCTGGATTAATAAGAGAAGCAACACCTTCAAGTTCCTTCTCTTCCGCAGGAGAGCGAGAAACACAGCTGTTTGTCTCTTTGCATCCCAGATGCTCCCAGGGAGCAGAGCTGTTCCTTGCTTTCCCACTTGACTAGAATTATGTGTGCCTCATGTTGATTGTGCATGTAGATGCCTCCCCCTCCAAGCAGCCTTCCCTGACTCCCCGCCAGAGTCAGTGCTGCCGCCTCTGGGCTCACGCTCCCAGCACTGTCAGCCGAGAAACTATGACACACACCTGTAAACTAGCTATTGCTGATCTCCTCAACTGTATGAGAAGCTGCTCCAAGACAGGCACTGAATCTCGTCTTTACACTGCAAGCCCCCAGCAACAGTGCACCTTGCAGTCATAAAAACAGTTGCTGCCACTTATTCTGGATTATAATAGACCAAGGTCTGGGCTAAGCACTTGGAGTACTTTATCCCTGTGAATCCTCAAAGCCACTCTGCAGGGAAAGTATTACTATACCCATTTTATGGATGAGGACACTGGAAGTTTACTTGTGCACAGATTTAATGTAACATTAGCAAATCCAAACTCCCCCATATATGTGGTTTCTCTTTCCCCTCTCCCTTCACCTCCCACATTTCTCCAAGGTCCTCAAAGTTACACAACTTTTCCTGCCTGGGGGCTTTATCTGAGCAGATTGCTCTGTCTTCATCGCACCCCATCCTTCACCCAGTTAATTCTTGGCTCAAAAGTTTTCTCCAAGGTAGACTCTCCTAACCCCCAAACTAGGCCATGCCCTCTTGTAATTAGGTCTCATAGCTTCACCAGCTTTTTGTTCATGGCATTTAACTCTTCCAGGGCTGATCAATCCCCCTGTCACCCATTCCAACCCCAGCCATGACCCACCCCTGTCATCCACCCCAATGGATTGCATGGTGCCTAGGGAGCTGTGGGTCTGCCCAGACTCAGATTTCACTTCTAATTTAAAAAAATTTTTTAATGTCTATTTATTTTTGAGAGAGAGAGAGGGCATGAGCAGGGGAGGGGCAGAGGGAGGTAGGTACAGAATCCAAAGCAGGCTCCAGTCTCTGAGCTGTCAGCACAGAGCCCGATGTGGGGCTCAAACTCACAAACAGTGAGATCATGACCTGAGCTGAAGTTGGACGCTTAACCAACTGAGCCACACAGATGCCCCTTGACTTCTAATTTAAGGGATCTCAGATATAAGTCATTCACCTTCTCCAGTACACAACACACTCTTGTCATCCCAAGCAAGCCTCCTCTATTTGTTGTTTCTTGTCAATTTTACTTTTTCCCCTTTGTCCTTCAGCCCTGCTGTCGGCACCCTATTCTCTCCCCAGCCTTTGTCATGGGCCTGCACTGCCATGTATTTGATGCAGGTCCTCAAGTATTCATACATACAGCCTTGTAAAATGAGTTTTGCTTGCTCATGTTTTTAAATTATGTAAATGACATATTATAATAAAAAACATAGTAGTTCCATATTTCATGTTGTTATGATTACCATTTGTCTCCTCCATTAGTATAAGCTCCTTGAGGACAGGCCCCTTATCTGTTTTGCTTGTCATTTTGTCCCCAGTGCCAAGTGCCCAATATAAAGTAGGCACCCAATAGACATCTATTGACTAAATGAACATTTGACTTCAAAGCACATGCATGAACTATTATGCACAGTAGAAAAAGCAGGTGCTGATAAGTGATTATATCAATGAGAGAATAGATGGAGGAGGTGATCAGTTGCAAGATACCAGCTGGGAAAGACCAGCTACTTGACTAACAGATAATACGGAGGCCTAACACACATCTGGTTCACTTTCAACAAAGCAAGTTTCCTGTTTGGGCAAAAAGAAAATTATTTGGCTTTTCACTTTCGCTTTTCAGTGACCACTAGGAGTCCATGGATGGAGTAGCCATCAACCACAAAGGAAAGAACAGGCCGGCTCTTCTCAGAAATGAGTATAGAAGGGCATCCTTATTACTTCCTCCCAAGCACTTCACACTCAGCCTCCTAGAAGAGCTACTCTTTCAGCCCAGCGCCTGAAATCATGTGGGCCATCTTCCACCCCACCCCAAGTTTGGTTTTCAAACCTCCACTTAAAAGAAAATGGAGAGTGGGAAGGTACAACCTGAGGTGACAGGAAAATCAATAGCCGGGGTTTGAAAGCCATTCTGGATGAAAGGCCCGGAGGCCATATGATAAAAGGGAACAGGAGTGGACAGTGGGGAGTCTGCCGCAGGCTTCCCTGTTCTCAGAAGGCATGTTCCCTTTACCCTGCAGGTAGGAAGCAGTGGCACATGGCAGATAAAAAGCATGGCTAGATAGAACCACAATCCTAAAGCTTATGTATAGAATCATGGAAACTGGAGGTGGGAAGGCACCTATGAGTTGGATCATCTGGCCTAGCTCTTCATTTTATATTTACCGAAAGCCCAGAAAGGGAAAGATCAGCCCAAGGTCCGACAGTGAGCCAATATACAGTGCAGACTGGAATCCTGGTTTTCTGGGTCCTACTCCAGGCCTCTTTCCATTACATGAAGATTCCTTACACAGCAGATAGTCCAGTGTGATAGGCAGAATAATGGCCTCCTGAAGATGTCCATGTCATAATCCCCAGAACCTATAAATACGTTACCTTCCATGGCAAAAAGAACTTTGCAAATGTGATTAAGTTAAGGACCTTTTGATGGGGAGATTATCCTGAGTTATCTGGATAGGCCCAATGTAATTGCAAGGGTCCGAGTCAGAGGAGCAGATGTGATGACAGCAGATGTGATGAGAGGTTGACTCTGGTGGCCTCTGAATCTTGGAAAAAGCCAGGAAAGGGACTTTCCCCCTGGAGTCTCCAGAAGGACCACACAGCCTTGCAAACCTATGTTAGGCTTCTGACCTCCAGAACTGTAAAGTGATAAATCTGTGTTGCTTTACAACACTGAGTTTGTGGTGATTTGCTATAGCAGCAATCAGAAATGAGTACATCCTGTGATACCACTCAACTGACATATTAATGATGCAAACCCCCCAGAGAGAAGAAGACTCCAGGAATCCCACCCACACTGGAGCAGCAATGTATCACAGCGATTATGAGCACGCTCCATGGAAACAACCCCAAAGACCATCCGCAGGCGAATAGACAGACACATTGTGGTATACTCACACGCTGTGGAATAGCATATGGCGTTTCAACAGAACAAACCTCTAAAATATGCAATGACATGGATGAATCCCTCAGACATGACATAGGACAGAAAGAAGCCAAGACACAAAGGATTAGGAACTAAATGATTCCAGCTGCGTAAAATTCAAGCACAGATAAAGCAAATCCATGGTGATTAAAATCAGAATGATATTCTGATAATGATATTCTTCCTGGTAGGAGAGGTGACAGCAGAGCCACCTGGGGCTGGAAATGTTCCATGCCATGATCTGGTTATATGTGGTATAGGTAAATAAAACTCCACTGTGTAGGACGCTTAGGATTTGTTCACTTTCCTATAAAGTATACTGCCGTTTCATCTCAGCTGTCATTTCCTGTGTGTGACACTTGGGCAAGTCTCTAAATCCATCAGAGCCTGAGTTTCTCACCTGTGTGTTGGGGATATTAATAGCTTCTACTCTGTAGAGTTGCTATAAGTTAGTGCATATAAAGTGTCCATGAGGCACCTGGGTGGCTCAGTCAGTTCGGCGTCCAACTCTTGGTTTCAGCTCAGGTCACGATTTCACGATGCATGGGTTTGAGCCCCGCATCTGGCTCTGAGCTGACAGCATGTAGCCTGCTTGGGATTCTCTCTCCCTCTGTCTCTGTCTCTCTCTGCCCCTTCCTCGCTCATGCTTTCTCTCTTTCCAAAAACAAATAAATAAACTTAAAAAAATTAAGTGTTCACAACTCTGCCTGACACATAGTGCTTCATAAATTCTGCTATTACTCAAGGTGTAGACAAAGTGGTGTGCTGGAGCCACTATATCCTGGCCCATGAGAGCCGATCATGTCCTTTCTTCCCAGCTCCACTATCAGAGCCATTACGTTGGTAGCTTAGCTTCTGCCATTGTGGGAATACTTACATCACAACAATTGTCAAAAAGTACAAATGAGTGCCTTTTTGTTAACTTGCTTGGACAGCCAGTTATTAAACACTTACCAGAGTACCACTGTGTAACTGGCTGCAATCAGACCCTCTCTGGAGAATGTTTTACTTTAGGAAAGGGGGAGAGCAGACAAGTGGCCTTGTGGGAGGAAAGCAGGGCCCACCACCTCCATTCTGTAGTGGACCCAGCAGGCCAGAGAGACTTGCATGTGAGCCCCATGACAGCATCTGAGTCCCCCACCATCACTCTCTCCTTATCTCATCCCTGGGCTTTAACCACTTAATTACTGCCCAGCCTTTCAGACCCCATCCTCCCTTAATATACCCCTTTTGAGAGGCCTAGCCAACCTTCCCACCCATCCCCTAGCCAGTCCCTCCCCTGCCAGGCCCTCCTCAGAGAGCTTGCCCAGAGTTATGCTCCCTGTTCCTTCTCTGTCTCCAGCCAACTGCTCTTAGATTCTCCTTGAATCTGCTCTTTCTCATCATTAGTGTCTTAGCTCCAATGTCACCTCTTTAGAGAAGCTGTTCCCTTGGCCGCTCTCAATCACTTCCCAATGTTACTCACCACTGACTGAAGTTCCTGAATGTGTGACTGCTCATCATCCCCATTCTATGTATCAAGAAACTGAGGATTGGGGAAGGTAGGGAACTTACCCATGATCACAAAGGCAAGAAATGACAGAGCTGGAATTTGAGTGCACATAAGCCCGTGTGTTTAGCCACTTCATTATGTGATGGACTGCTTGAAAGACAGGGCTGTGCAGGCAACTGGTGCATCCAGGGAGAAGACGGCTCTGCAGGTCCTAAGCTGGAGGTGGGGAGTGGACGCCACTGCCAAGCAAAGGTGTCCAAGAGAGTCTGGCTGCAAGTTTGAAGTCTGATATCCTCAGGCCAACACTGTAATAAGGTACAGAGAGTGGTGAAGGGCGCAAAGGAGGCAGAAAGGCAGCATGAACAGAGCCTGCCTTTATTTACTTATTTATGGAGGATGAGATATTAATCAGGGGCCTATCCTTTGAACTGTCAGCACCTTCTCCTACAGCAGCAGGTCAGCAGGTGCGATGAGCTGGTGCTGGGGGAGGAAGTCAAATTCTCTGCTTCTCTCTAAGATTCCCAGGTCCCCCAGGACAAAGCCTTCACCATGCCAGGGAATCAGTCCTTTGGCCAGAGAAGGTGGGCCCCCACACAGGATAAGTGGGAAGCGGGAGCAGTGATGGGGGTGTGGGAAAGTCAGCTGGGGCAGTGGAAAGGGTACTAGACAGGAGTTTTTAAGTTCTGTAGGACTGTGTAGAGCACTTAGCACAGTGCCTGGTATCTGGAGAAACGTTCACTGGTGTTCCTAGCTCTGTGTGACATCAGGCAAGTCACACAGTCTGTGTCTTCCATCCCTCGTGTGCAGTGTGCAGAGGACACATAGAAGAACTGCCTGCTGAGCCCCCTTCTCAGAAGAGCCGAGCGGTGCTCAGCACCATATTTATGAGGTGACTCATAAATGCTTACTGAATGTACTGTGTTGTTTGTGCTAATCAAAGCCCTTTCAAAATGTAAGGTTTTTTGTTTTGTTTTTTTTTTAATTTGAGAGGGAGAGAGAAGGGGAGAGGGGCAGAGGGAGAGAATCCCAGGCACCACACTCAGTGCGAAGCCTGACTTGGGGCTTGATCTCACAACCGTGAGATCATGACCTGAGCTGGAATCAAGAGGCAAGTCAGAGGCTCAACCAACTGAGCGACCCAGGTGCTCCTATAAGGTATTATTTCTGAAAACGCAGTATGATTTCTGGGAAGGTAGTGAGCTCCCCATCACTGGGTTTATGCAGACAGTAGCTGAGAGAGAAGATGCTTGCATGGAGTGTCAGCTTAGGTTTTCCTCTGGGGAGGTGGCACTGTCCAGAGATTCAGCCTCAGAATCCAATAGTGAGAGTTCAAATCCCAGCTCAGCTACCCATTAGCTTTGGGGTTTTAAGTTTCTTAATCTCTTGCATCCTGGTTCCCTCACCTCTTAGACTGCAAGAAAAACAGTACCTGCCTTATACAGTTGTTTAGAAAATTCAGTGATATGATGGACAAATAAGTGATTTATTGAGCCAATGACATGAGATGAGTTTTTTCCTATTTCTTTTTTTTAAAAAGTTTATTTATTTATTTTGAGAGGAGGTGGGGAGGGGGCAGAGAGAGAGAGAGAGAGAGAGAGAATACCAAGCAGGCTCAGCACTGTCACTGCAGAGCCCCACATGGGTCTCAAAGTCACAAACAAAAAGATCATGACTTGAGGCAAAATCAAGAGGTGGATGCTTAGCCAACTGAGCTACCCAGATTCCCTTTTTCCTATTTCTGCCTCTAGTTGTACCCAGTCAAATCCACCACCTTATCCATTTGATAATGATCACTTCAGCAGAAACTGAAACATTCTGGCCACTTGAAGTCCAGTTCAGTTTAAATCTCTTTTCTTCCCTCCTCCAGGCGTAGGCTGGACTGATGGGTCAAGAAACAGAACCAGAAGTGGGACAGGGTCCCGGCCTCTCCATTCACTCCCCCTCCTCCCTGCACCTCAGAATGATATCCACCTCCCTCCCTCTCTGATTCTCAGGATCTCCTTCCTCCTCTGACAAGCAGTGCCCAAGGCAGGTAGCTGATATGTTACCCACCTGATGTTCAGGCAGTGGGGGGCAGGTGATCCTTGCCTCCTACAGGGTCAGTACCTGTCCATGAGGTGCTGGTGGTCTCTGCTGATATGGTGGTCTTTGTATCATTGGTATGTCGCTTTTCATGGGGTGGCATCTACATAGTTTAATGGCAGCTATGAGACCCCTCAGAGAGAAGGGCAGCCCACTTAGCCTTCAGCCCTGCCGGGAGGCCATAATGAC